CAAGAAACTGTACTAATTAAATCACTGCTTGGCCCATTAGCTCTAGTTTCTTATTGGCTAGCGCTTACATCTTAATTTAACCCATTTCTATTCATCTGTGTATCACTACAAGGCTGTGGTTTACCAGGTAAAGTTCCAGTGTCTGTCTCTGGCGGGACTCCGTGGCTTCTCACTGAGACTACCTTCCTTCTCCCAGCATTCAGTTTAGTTTTCCTGGCCTAGCTAAGTTCTGCCCTATCAACAGGCCAAGGCAGTTTCTTCATTCACCAATGGCACTCCCGGTATATAGAAAGAAATCCCACATCAGTGAAAGGAGGGAAATGACTCTCATATGTTGCCCTCTGACCTTCATATGTGTGCTGGGATATTCATATGTACACACACATAATAGGTAGGTAGGTAAGTAGGGAGAGAGAGAGAGAGAGAGAGGACGGATGAATGGAAAATTAGAAGAAGCTTATTTTTACATATTTAAGGGATGTTATAATTTTGGTTTTACTTTGACCACTTGTCACTGGCAGGTAAACAAAAGTGCACTGCGAAGCATCTCTTTCCTGCTGCTTACAGCCAAACTTTACTAACACTGAGCTACACAGTTTAACAAATGCGCACTTTTAAAAGGATATCTGTGCTATCCTGGCAAACTACCATCAGAGCTGTACCTCCTAGGAGCCCTTTCCCGCTGAGGAAGCTGTGCTGTGTGACAACTGACAGACAAGCTGACTCATACGATAACATACGCATAAACAGTCCCAAGAACTAGAGCACACCTTTGCTGCCATCATGCCTTCATTTTGCTTTTTTTTTTCCACTCACTAGTGGTTATAAAACTGTGGAATTATAGATCCACATCCTTACTGCCACATGACAATTCCATAAAAAGAAACACTTTGTAGAAGATCAGACCAAAAAAAAAAAAAGGAGATCTTTTACTCACGGACAACAAACATTTCTGATAGGAGAAATTATGTTGTATACAGAAATATAAAACTACTTGATTTAAAATAAATTACAGAATTTATAGGTAACTATGTTAAAAAAACATAAGCTATCAAATAACCCATTTCTGAAGATATAATAAATTTATGATGCTTAGATTGCAAAAAGAGCGATCATTAGTAAGCATATTCTAAATAACAACTACAGGGTTATCAATATTAAACCACCAGTAAAAATCAGTAAATGATACCTTACACAAATTGGTAAAAAAAAATTGTAAATTTTACTATCCACAAACTTGCAGTTCTTTTAGCATAAATACTATTGCAACGGAAGAAAAAAAGACTCAATATTTTGAATATCCTAGGGCTTTTTTCCAAGCTTGGAACTACTTCATATTTGACAACCCCAAAGACAGCCAGGTTATCCACAATCAAGTATAACTATTTTGACTATAATTTTTAGTATTTTATGGAATAATAAGCTTCTACACGGACTGATCCTCCCACTTACGATATGAATTAGCAGGCAATGGAGTAACTCATGCAATAACAAACTTCACGATATGGATTTGTAGCAATAACGCCATCATTTCACACTAAACTGTCATCATTCAACCAGAAGCAAAATAAAGTTTCTTCTAAAATAAAAGCATAATATTCCCATTGAAGGATGAAAGCTGAAACAAGTTCACAGCAACAATCAAAGAAGCCTGATACTCACGGAGTCTTTGTGAGTTTGAAGACTACATAACCGACTACCATCCCTTGGGCAGTTGCTTGTCAAGTAAGAAGTAATTTCTGAACTAATTTAAGTGGCCTATAAGCACTCTTCTTTCTAAGGCTATCCAGTTTCACTGCGTTATGTAAAACATGAGTAATTTGTAATTTCGGGGAATGTGTTAAATTCAGGTAATCAGGCCATCATTTGCATTCAAATGATGTCATAAAATTTCTGAACAGTCTCCCAGCTGTGCAAGGAAGCTACTGTTACTTAAGGGACTCTTAGACCCACTGTGTGCCCAGCATGGGCCTGGGGGCTTTGTAAATGCTACTCACGCACAGTGTTCTCAGGACGTCTGGGAGCTCAGTCCCGTGAAGCTCAACGGTAAGTTAGTACTGTTTTATTCATTTATCAGTGAATCAAAATGAATAAGTAAGCCTGTCCCCACTCCCTCTCTGTAATCTAGCCAATTTTTTAGCTCATTCGCAAAACACAGATCAGACAGCGCCTCTTGGGAGAGTCCGCTGACTGCTCGAGGGGTTAAGTGCTGGGCTTTCTCTTTTTCCACAGCCGTCTGTGATCACCTCAAGACTGAAGGGCAAAGAGTAATTGTTCATACACTCATTCCTTCTCCCAGCTGTCTGTAAACCCATTAGAGGTTAGAAGTGTCTTTTATCTCTAAATCCCCGTGGTCTTGGTTTATTTTAACATGCTAAATATCAAGAGCTCAACTGAATAAAATCCTTTTAATGAGTCAATAAATGAAATACACACACAAACACACACACACATACACACGTGCCTTATGAGCTCACAGGGAAAAAAAATCATCTAAATGTTATTTCTGAAATACAAGGGGAGTTGCTAAAAATTATCCATGGGTACCTACAATGCCAAAAGTTCTGTCTATTTATCAAATAATAATAACAAGAGCTATATAGAATCAACACATTTTCAGGTTAAATTACAGCTCTCTTGAAACCAGAAATGCCTAGCAGACAAGAAAACCCCTGAGTTTCCTTACTGCAGGAAATGTTGGGTATGCAGCAATGCGTAGGCCTTTGTGTCTGTTCCCCATGGTTGTCCTGCTGCAATTTAAGGGTCCTGATTACACTGACTTCCCAACTGATGCAGACAACATACACTGTCTGCGCCTTTAGAAACCAAGGATAATTTGTTTTAGTTATAAATAGCATTACTTCCACTTCAGACTTGAATTAATATTCTACGTTTGCTGCTTAATATAAATTCTACCAAGTCATAGTGGAGTTTACTTCTGAAGGGCCTAGGGTATGTATCTTCTGCCCCAGTGGAGAGGGCTATAAGTCAAAACATCTCAGAAGTGGTATCCTAGAAACACTGAGAGAGAGAGAAAAAGCAATGGCCTGTTTTTCAAACTTAGTGGTCTTTTACCAGCATAGAGAAGAGGAAGGCACTGGGGCCATGATCAGTGTGAGGCAGAGGCTCCACTGGAATAGAGAAGGGGTTAGACACTCGGGCGTGATCACAGAAGGCAGAGACCCGGAGTTCCAGACTCTGCTCCTTCGCTTCCTCCTCCTGCATCTCTCTGTCTGTCTTTCCTTTCCTTTCCTAATTCTCTAGGACTTGTTTTTAGCAAACTAAAAATCCAGACCATGGAAAGCTCTATAGAGAACGGATGACCTCCTGTCTTAGTAAATAAATTACAAGGAAAATTAAAATAAAAAAATAAAGGAATGGGTGGAAGAAACCATATGGTAAAAGAGACTAAAATAGACTAAGTATGCCCTTTATTTCAGCTCTGGCTAAAATGAGGGAAAATGTGCATATAAACTATACACATAGAAGCATATTTTTGAGACAGGTGAAAGTTACTCTGAATAAATGATTGCTTTACAGTACTAACGAATCTTATTTTTAACATGACAATTCAGAGTAGTATTTTTCTAAATAACCCTTACCTTTCAGACTTTGACTACTGAAAATTTTAATAAATAATATGCCATTTACTTCAAAGTCATACAGAAAGGGCAAGAGGAATAGCGGGAGACAGACAGGTAAGTTACCAATCACTGAAGCCAGAATTCATTATAATCCTCTGTCTAGTTTCTGTGGGTCTGGGTTTTTTAGTAAAAGGCTACAAACGAACATCAGAATACTGCTTCACAGGAATAATATTTATTAACTGAAAAATAAAACACAGGTTCCCTGCTTATACAGCCTTTACCATGGAAACAAGTCAAAATAAAAAGAAACATAAGCAGCTGTCAAACATTAATTTGGATAAGAAACTCCTTCGCTAAGGGCTGGGCATATGAGATTTTCTACTACAATAATCTAACTTCAGAGGATACTACAAGTAACCCTGAATTTCTACCTATGTCAAAATTTTAGTGGAGCCAATTATTTGGCTGCAAATCTAGACAAATATTTTTCAGACTTTACATATCACACATGTGAATAACCGAGCACATTAACACATTACAGTTATGTTAGTGTCGCGTGCATGTACAATTGGAAATTGTACAGCTTATCTTCATAATGCTTACAACAATCTTCAACTACGTGAGCTTCACATGTACTTGCAGATCAACGTCAGAATCTTGGTGCTTACAAACAGAAAATCCCTTACATGGTTCTAAAACTATTGGCTAGAAATAGCCAGTAACTTCAAAATGATTTTCAAACATATGTTTGGTGTTGATTTAAATGCAGGTACATTAGTTTGATTAGTTTAATGCAATAAGTTAGTTTTTTTTTTAACAAATTAAGTGCTCGGTAACAATACAGCCCTAATTACAACGGTGAAAAAAAAGTAGGGAGGACCAGTTTATAGAAGTCAGGAGTGAATAGGCATATCTCTGGTGTTCACAAAGTAAGTGAGCAGGCGATTTTGCTGTGTAGTTTATTTTTGCTTGGGTTTTTTTAGGGATGCCTAGTTTCCTTCTTTTCCCTTCTTTCTGCGTATCTTGTGTTATAAAGCCGTCTCCTCGCAGTTAAAACAACGAAGATGATGATGCAATCCTACCCAAACAGAATGTCTTCCTACCCCGTGCAGTTTTGCTTGAGGAAGGAGATGGGGTCTTGGCCTCTGGCCCCTAGCTCCTTGCTCAGGTTACTGGGCTACTAGGAGCACCCACCGCCACCCCTCCAAACAGCCCCCGCCCCTTCTGCAAAACCCTGGGCCTGTGCTTCTTTGCGTTCCTTTTTTCTCTGTCTCCTTTTCTCCTCCTTGCACCAGGAGCATCCTGCATGAGTCGCATTAGGACTGTGCTCTCTTCACCCTATGCACCGCGTCCCCAGGGCAACCCTAAGCAAACGTGGGGTCGTGAGGCTGCGCCACGGACCACCTCCCTCACCTGCCGGCCGCCAGGGTGGCCCCGCACCCGTGTGTTGAGCCGGTCGTGCCAAGTTTCGTCCTCGCCGCCCGAGCGGTAGATGAGGCGCAGCGGCACGATGCTCTGGCGCTCCAGGAAGCGGTTTTCGTTCCTCCTCTCCAGCTCCCTCAGCGAGGCGTCTCCTTGCAGGCAGGCAGAAGGGCAGGCGGGAGTAGAGAGAAATGGCCAATAAATAATAAATAAATAAAAAGCTCTACGAAAATTCCCCCGCCTCCTCCCTCCAGGACCCCAACCAGGGAAGGACGCAAAGACGCCAGCTGGAGAGCTCTGGACCAGCTCATCCGACAGCATCCCAGGGCCCAGAAACACGGCACCCGTTTCCCATTCTCCCCATTTTCCTCTTCTTCAAGGAATTAAAAAAAAAAGGCATTTGACCCCAGATTGCTGATGCATCCTTGAGCCCCCACACGTTTGCTTCTTTCTCACCGCCCTTCAAAAAATACAAATAGAAAAAAAAAAAAAAAACAAACCGCGCACTGTGGAAACGCAGATGCGGCTTTTCGGGGGGCTTCAGGGTTCCAAGGAGTCCTGGAAGCCCAAGGAGCTGCGAACTTACCTGCCGGACCGCAGCGCGCTAGGGGGCAGGTCCCTAAGACGCAGAGCAGCCAGAAGGACGCGGCCGCCGCTGCCTGCATGGTGGCGGCGCTCAGCTGCTCGTGTCCCGGCCACGGGCTCCGGCTCCCCGCCGCCCCTTCCCGGCCCGCGCCGCTGCCGCTGCCGCTGCCGCAGCCGCCGCTGCCTCAGTGCTGCATTGTGCCTCGCGGGCGCTTCGGTGGCGGGGGCAGCGATGGAGCGCCGCATCGGGCGGGCGCCAGGCTGTAGCTAAGTGGCTTCTAGCGCCTCCCACTTCATCCCCAGGCGGAGGCCGGGGCGGGCGGCCAGCTCGGCAGGGAGCGGGGCCGGGTGCGCAGCGGGCCTGGTGCACTTGCCCCCCCCCCAACACCCCCACCCTTCGCCGCACCCGGCCGCTCGCTCGCACCGGAGTAGCTGGGAAATGTAGTTCCCTCTCCGCATCTCGCTGGTCTCCACAGCGACGCGACCGTCGCCACCCGGGGACTGCAGACCCCAGGAAGGGAAGGCACTTAGGAGAGATGAGGGACACCACCTTGCAGGGTCACAGTAGCGGGAATTCTCCCCCAGCGACCACAAAGAAAAGCACTGTTGTTCACGAGTTGGTTTTGCTTGAGTTACCAAGCGACCATGCCCTGCGTGCATGGCAAGTCAGTCATTCCACAGATATGAACTGAGGGCCTACTATGTGCCAGGTGGTTACAATGATAAAGAACCTGAGTGTGAGTCACCCGCTCTCAGACGCAATTAAGAACGGCTGTTTTGGTAAGACTTTGAGCAAAGGGTTGAATGGTTATTTTGCAGTCCAGGTGTGTCTGTGCACCTTGAGTGTGCAGTACTGTTGGCAACCAGAAGAGAGGCTTGAGTTTCTGGGACTAGAATTACAGAAGGTCCTGTGTGTTCTGGGAATCCAACCCATGTCCTCTGAGGAATAGGCAGTATTTTTAACCCCTGAGCCATGTCTCCATCCGCAAGCCATATTTTTTAATGGCTTTTAATTTCATTTTATTTTGGATACCTAGAGGAGGGCCATAAACCAACTTCAGGAGAATCAGAAGACATGTGCCAAAGCTCTAGGCAGACATGTAAAGTGAGAATAAGCTGGATTCTCGGTGGTTTGTTTGCCTCCTCCAATACCTGCCAGCCTCAAACGTGTACAGAAAACAGATAGGGGAACAGACTTTCTCAGGCAGTCCTACCCCACCCACCCCACTGCAAATGTTAGAGACTCACAGGGATAAAAATAGTAATAATTGTTTACATAATTAGCACTTGCGTGTTACAGATTTTGAGATTCCCATACACTAGCATTACAGCCTCAGGTCAAAAATCTGAACAGCAGAAGAGGAAATTAAGAATTAGATCAAGTAGGCTTCTTCCCAGGGATGGTTCAACATATGTAAATCAGTAATAGTTGTAATCCACCATATAAACAAACTGAAAGACAAATAAAACCACATGGTCATCTCATCAGATGCAGAAAAAAAAAACCTTTGACAAAATCCTACATCTCTTCGTGGTAAGAGTCCTGGAGAGATTAGGGGTACAAAGGACATATCTAGACATAATAAAGGCAGTTTATGGAAAGCCATAATCAACATCAAATTAAATGGGCAGAAACTCAAAGCAATTCCACTAAACTCAGGAACAAGACAAGACTGTCCACTCCATCCATACTTGAAGTCTTAACTAGGGCAATAGGCACCTGAAGGAAATCAGGGGATACAAATTGGAAAGGAAGAAGTCAAAGTATCTTTATTTGCCCATAATATAATAGTATACATAAGTGACTCTAAGAATTCCACCAGAGAACTCCTACAGATAATAAACACTTATCGCAAAGTAGCTGGATACAAAATTAACTCACGAAAATCGGTAGCCTTATCATATACAAACATCAAACTGGCTGAGAAAGAAATCAGGGAAACAATACAATACTTTTCAAAATAACATCAAATAATAGAAAATATCTTGGAGTAACTCTAACCAAGCAAGCGAAAGAAAGACTTGAATAATAAAAAAACATTCCATCTTTGAAGAAAGAAATTGAGGAAGATATCAGAAGTTAGAAAGATCTCCCATGCTTATGGATTAATAGGATTAATCCTACCAAAAGCAATCTACAGATCAGCCCCCACCAAAATTCAAACAAAATTCTTCACAGATCGTGAAGGGAACATCTCCAGGTTCATAAGGAAATATAAAAAAAAATCAGGATAGCAAAATTGCATAACCAAACAACTGCAGGAGATATCACCATCCCTGACCTTGAATTGTACTACAGAGCTATAGTAATATATAGTCTGCTTGGGGCACAAAAACAGACATGTTAATGAATGAAATCAAACTGAAGACCCACACATAAATGTACACACCTATGAACACCTGATTTTTTTTTTTTACTAAGAAGCCAGAAATACACACTAAAAAAGGGGGGGGGCAGCATCTTCAACAAATGGTGTTGATCAAATTGGATGTCATAATTTGAGAACTACATGTCATGAAGCATACTGGAATTTCAAAAATGTGTAAGTCTTCAAATCAATGAGATGGTTAAGAATCTTATCTTGCATGCAGTTGTCTACAGCTTGAGCAAGATTTCAAGAGTCTATTAGACCTTAATACACAGCATTCTGTAACGACTGCAGTAAAAGATAATTAGAGCCTGAGGCATAAGAATGTGTTTTGTGTTCTCCCACAATGTCATGAGTCCCATTCCTAATCTGGTTCTCTTAGCTAAAAGAATGAGTTGTGTAAGTGTTTTAATTATGACATTGCTCTAAACAGAGTGCTTTCTTCTCACTTTTTTAGTATGTTTGGAATATATTAAATAATTTCAAAAGCTAAACATATCAGTTTTATGTAACAAAAATTTAAATACTTTTTAAAGTTTGTCTTAGCTTGTGTCGCTACAGCAATAATAGCATAGACTGGGTAACTTAAGTATCAACATTTAAGGAACTGAAATGTAACAGTCCTAGATTTGACCATTAGCACTACAAAGCAAAACACAGTAACAATGAAAATTTGTCACAGTGCTGGAAGTCAGAAAGCAAGGAAGGAGTTGCAAGACTGGGTGTCAGGTAAGGGCTACTTCCTGCCCCCGTGAACAGCCACCACCTTGTCCTTGTCTTTATGTGACACAAATAGAGCATTCCTGTTCTCAACCATCTCTTGCTCCCTTTTGTAATGCAGACATTAATCCAACCATGGAGGTTTCACCTTCATGACCTAATTATTTCTCAAGGTCCCATCTTCAAATACCATCACAGTGGGGCTTCGATATATTCATTTTGGAGTGATACAATCAGTTATTAGTAGAGGTTAAAGTATCTCTCCCATCAGATTTCCAAGTCTGAATTGCTAGACACTTGACATATATGAGAAAACACTAATAAATGACAAATTATGTTTTCATTAATATATGTATATATATTAATTATATATATATAAATTTAAACTTTTGTGTGTATGTATGTACATCACGGGCACATGTGGAAACCTGACTTTGAACTTCTGCTCTTCCTGCCTCCCTCTCCTGGGGTTTTATAGGTCATTGTACCCCATCTCTTCGCATATGTTTGAATAGAGAGGTCCCTAAGAGAAAAAACAAAGTTTTTGTTGTTTAAAATGTTCATAAACTCATAAATACATGTGTTTAAAGATGACCACTTGGGACTGATAGTTCATCAGGGTTCTCATCCCTGGAGAAGATTGATTCTCCTCCTCTTAACGGTCAATAGTTGCCTATAGCCTTCACGTGGAGGAGACTCAGTGGACTCAGCAGAGTGTGTGTGTGTGTGTGTGTGTGTGTGTGTGTGTGTGATAATAATCAAAGATGAAAATGTCATGAATTTGAGGGGACACACCGGAGGAACTGGAATGGGGAGAGAGCTGGTTAGAAATCACAATCACAGAGAACTTAGACAACAATGAGGACACTAAGAGAGACTCACATAGATCTAATCTACTTGGGAAGTAGAAAAAGGCAAGATCTCCTGAGTAAATTGAGAACATAGGGACCTTGGGGGAAGGTTGAAAGGGAGGGGAAAGGCAGGGAGGGGAACAGAGAAAAATGTAGAGCTCAATAAAAATAAAAATAAAAAAATTCAAAGAAGGGGCTGGAGAGATGGCTCAGAGGTTAAGAGCACTGACTGCTCTTCCGGAGGTCCTGAGTTCAATTCCCAGCAACTTACATGATGGCTCACAACCATTTGTAATGAGATCTGGCGCCCTCTTCTGGCCCGCAGTCATACATGGAAGCTGAACACTGTGTACATAAATAAATAAATCTTAAAAAAAAAAGACTCCTCCATTAAAAAAAATCAAAGAAAGCAAAATAATAAAAAATGTTTTAAATATAGCACTCATGTATGAAATTCTCAAAAATTATTTAAAATAAAATGACAAGAGGTTTATAAACTTTTGTCTTATTTGAAATGAGTGAATATTATGAAAAAAGAGAAACATAAATATTCATTTGTATTTAAAAAAATAATAAAATGGTACAGCCTGATTTCCAAGCCAGAAACAGAAAAATAAAGTGTGTTTGTATCAGAGAATGTATTTTCTGTGTGGCTCAGAACAAGCACAACAATTGAATATACCACAATAGTACAAAGATCATATACTTAATCAAATATATTCATATTGTATTAATTATATTAATTAATTATAATATAAGCAATATATATAATCAAAATATACAGAATTTCTCAAGATGCACTTTGGAAGGGCCAGGAAGAACTCTTCAGATCTTTCTGAATGAGGGTGTTTCTATAGTTACTTACCTGTTTTATATGTCTATCTATTATTTCAATTTATTTGCTTTTATTTTAATGTGTGTTGACTTGAATGTAAGCATGTGTACCATGTACAAGCTTGGTGCCTACAGAGGCCAGAAGAAGGCTTTGGATCATTTGGAACTGGAGTTTCAGGCCATCATGGCTGCCATGCAGATGGCAGCAAACAAACCTGGGTCCTCTGCAAAAGTAGCAACTGTTGAACCATCTCTCCAGCTCCTCTATTTTTATCTAATTGAATTAAACCAGAAATCACTAACAAAGGTAACTGGACCCATACCCACCAAAACAATTAAACAACTCATTCTAGTTAACAAATGTCTCAAAAGAAATATATTTTTTAAAAATGTAAGCAACAGAAAAAAATTGAAGCGGTAATCCATTAAATTGAAAACAGGGAATCGACAGAAACAAACCCAAAAAATGACTCTGTAAAAAGATCAGTAGCACTGATTAACATGGAGTCAAGTTAACTAATAAGAAGAGAAGACAGAAACACTAATAATAGAAACAAAAGAGGATCAATGACTGCTG